TTTAGACTGGATTTATCAGGCTTGTAGGAAGGACGATTTGAGAGCTTTCGTGAACGCTATAATAGAACTTCGTGTACGTTTATGTACAAATGTTTCAATATATTTTGTAGCCTACATATTTAACAAAGAAACGTGAATTAATTATTCGGTTTTGTCCGTCTAATCACAATTATATTTAAAATTTACAAATAAGATAATTAAAATATCATTTTATGTTCCACATCGAATAATCGATTTACATTTGGAACGATTATTCGATGTGGAACATAAAATTATATTTTAATTATCTTATTTGTAAATTTTAAATATAATTGTGATTAGACGGACAAAACCGAATAATTAATTTAATATTTGATTCACAATATGACGCGATTATACTATCTAAAGAAACGTGGTTACATGTTCGGTATAAACTGTATTATTCGTTAAATTATGTACTTTACATGTATACCTATGCATATGCATGTATCTAATGATCATATCAAAGTTAATTTTCTATTTTTTCTGGATTCTAAAGGATTTTCTTTGCCGCATGGCATCGGTTAGAGCCAGTTTCCTTGTTTGGAATGCTCTTAAACATTTTATATTTATGTTGTAAGACAGTACAGTGTCCGAAGCTTGCTGTTATGTTTAAATGAGAAATTAATTTTATTTTATCCAAACCAGAGAAACTATAATATGTAAGGAAAACGAAGTATAACTGTCAGACGATTGGATTATCGGCAGACTTTATTCTGGTATTCGCATGAGACACATTTTATTCTACGTGACATATTATGCTAAAATTTGATGTTGAAGTCCGAATTCCCTATACACATATATGCCCCTACAACATAAAGAATTTATTAAGTGTATTTCTTAAGGTTTAATAAGTTCTAAAATATTGAGCGGTTACTTATGTAATAAATATATGATGAACCACACAGTACTCTACTTTGCGATCGAAGCAGAGCTGAGTATATGGGTCGAAGAAAAGTGTTATAGTTCCCTAATGTGGCCCACATTATTCGGGTAAATCCACGTTGTATTATACAACGTTCGTTTCTCCCTCGAGTTTTCCTGTCGCTTCCGAGATTCTAAATTTCAATAGTCTGTGTCACCAACAAGACGTCGCTGGCAGATGTTGAAAAACACTGATATTTTTTTTAGTTATGTACAGCATCGGCTGTTGGAATATACAGCAGGTATAGACGCAGATACCGCAAAATCGGACAATTATAAATTTAAACGTTTAAAGGTTTCTGTCAATGACACATAAACGCGACATTTATTTCACTTTTGGTATCTGAAAATAACACTTTATATCAGAGCACTGCACAAGTACATTTGTCTAACCAATTATTACTGACTTTTATTACTCGTATTTGGTAACATTTTTTTTTTCTTTTCAATACACAGACTCCATGCTGTAATCTGCCAATAATATTCATAATAGCAGCCAAACATTTACGATAATATTTCGTTTTATTCCATATTAATTAAATCTTTTGATATTAGTGAGCTTCATCAAAAGCCAGGTGGCCAATTACATACACAGCATAAGGGATAAAATAATATTAATAATAATAATAATAATAATGACGAGGAGGAGGACGTTTGTTGCAGTAGTAACAACTTTGGTTTGCATTTGTAAAGTAGGTTTAAATCCTGTCATCGGCCGAGCTGTTCAGAGAGGTCGTGCATGGTCTTACTCAGTCCCTCCAAATAAAGGCTGGAATAGCAACAGAAAATAAGCCAGGACGGTTTCTGCAGAAGTATAATTCACAGTGACCTCACCATGCATGTCAACATAATGCAGCATTGTGAAATAATTTAATAAATATTCGAACCATTATTTTAATTGAACGTCTTGTGAGATGATGAAACTTGGAAAAGACTATTGTGCTTGCAAACCGGATACAAACAGGTACATAATTCCAGTATAGGTCTTTCAGATTTTTGGTGAATTACGGTTAGGACAACAACTCTTCCATCATGAAGGGTGAACAGTCTTGTTACCTTCCACTGATTGGATTATAATAATAAGGCAGTTGTTGAATTAGATTCCTGGTAATTTTCTCCAAATGTCATAACCATAAATTTTTTTTAATATTTATTATTGATTTGGTATCTGTTATTTACGATCTGCTAACTACAATTTACAAAATCATTTTAGGACGATCACATGATCCTCGAGCGAATCCCGCTTAGGGCGTATGTACGTACTATTCTCTGCTGTGATGTACTGATTAATTGTACGCCATACGATTGGTCGGTTGCCCAGACAATGTATGCTACACACGTATCGCGCTTCTGGGAATGTCTTTAACACACAGATTACGTAATGAATAAATAAGAAGGCGACACACATGGAGAGAATGCAAGAAAACAAATAAAGAGATAATAAGAACAATGAGGAGAAGATGGAAAGACAAATTTAACTTCGGAATTTCAGAAAGGACTTCGAAGTACCTAATACGTAGATGGCGAAAACGCTTACGGACCGGATTGTTAACTCTGCTGGTCTGATTCTTTTTATTTCGTTATATTTATTACTGTGTTCTGCTCTTGTGCTGTATCTGAAATTGTTTTTCTGGCTTTTGATGAAGCGCACTGATAGTAAATAACTGATCTGTATTCTGAGACCGAAGTTTATTACGAGGCACATATTAGAAAATATACTAATATAATGTTTCAATTAAATACTAAGTTTTTAATAATATATCATCTTTCATTCTGTGTGGATGATATTTCCTGCATCTGTGATTTTATTTTATATTCTATAACAAATATTTGTCCTTTCACTTATCTCGTATCCAAATGGAAATATCTACGAGATCTGTACTTGAAATGTTCTTTTTATGTTCAACCCAGTTTCTCAGTTCTTTTAATTATTTTTCGAAATTAACCTTTACGGGCAGTTAAAATAATATAATTGTTTATGATGTATTTTCAATATTCCCATATCAGACCGAAAGAAAAGACTCAGATGGTGTAACATATTGGTTAGCTGAAGAGTGTATTAAGATGTTTAAGTGAATGGAAACAGGTTTTTTTTGACAAGTTTATTATTATTTTTTTATATTTTTTTACTTTGAATTGAAATATCGAGAATTTAACATAACGTATTTATTAAAACATCACAAAATAAAAGATATGGCATTAGATTTAGTATTATCATATTGAGATATTAAACATTGTTTCTTCATTTTAAATTTGTATTTCTCTCTTAACGGACAAGTGGATGACTACGGCCTGGACTCCAGGAGCTCAGTTGTCCACAGAGGACACGAACTTCCTTCTTAGTTGGTATATCCAGACTAGCTCTGGAGCCACCGGAGTCTTCCGCTCTCGATTGCACCAAATATTAACTCCACGCCCCAATTATGCTATCATGGTATGATGTTTTAATAGAAGGGAGATTTACCTTTATTATTTCAAAACTTCAGCTGCTAGATTATTGTTAGCATTACGTGATAGAAAAAAAATGTTATAAGCCTTATAATGACTTGGTAAATTTTTTTTCGGAGTAATTTTATTTCTGACAAATTAAAACCTTGGAGTAATGGGAATAAATGTAGAATGTTAAAATTCCATGTGTATAATTGGTTTTTATATCTTCTATTGGAATTACGAATACTGATTTTGATGAATGCAGATTCTGTGCACGTTTTATATTCATACATGAAAATGTAACTACAGCTTCATAGGCCTATACTGCCCCTCTCTCCTGCTTAGCTGACACATTGGTACGTAATACTTTGCTGCTATAGAAATTTACTTCGCTGAAAATTAGCAGATGGCCTCAGTGAATTATGAAATACAAAGAGACTAATCAATTTTTGAGTGTCGCTAGAACTTTGAATATTAAAAGTATAGATTTAATTGAGTTATTAAATGGAAGTATAAATAATTCGTACAATAATTGTAACGTCAAAATTATGATGGGTGGAATGCAAAGTATAATTAATTAGGTCCATTGAGCTTCTTGTGAACCTCAAAGGTTCATTACCGTGCGCACATGGGTCCGCCATAAGACTTTATCATATACCAGATGAATTAAAATGAGATTTCCGATTGTCATGACTAGCGAGTACGAAGACAGTTGTCTTCTGTGTTGATGCATAGTCTAACAACGTATAGGTTCACTGACGTTTCAGAGGTGTTTGCTATCTTAAGTCATTTTGGCTGATTATTTTTTTTTTACATATCCGAATGTAGAAGCTTCTTACTCGATTGTTATTAGTAGAACCATAAAATGTGTCATGTTAGTTGTTTGTTTTATAGGCCTATGTATATTCATATATTTACAAGTAAAATAATTTTAATTTTATTGTATATCAACAAACATTACGTGTTCCGTTTAATAAATCGTTTCTGTTCCAATAATTTTGAATTGCATAAATATTTATAGCAAATTTGTTACATAATACGTTTTTTAGGAATAAGTTTCCTCATCTGTGTCATACGTCGCATTACTATTTTCGCTTTAGTATTTGCAGGAATACAAAATTGTAAATTGTATCGTTGGTGGTACCAATTCGAAAAGGCATGATAACACTTTACGATGAGCGTATCTCTCTGTGATCTATGTTGGCTACGTTTTAAATTTGTAGGCTATTTATCGAAACTCTGCCATTACTCAAAATTCTAAATAAGGAAGAATTTCTTTAATATCATTATAAATATGATTTTTACTTGGTTGAATCCTGTTTCCACATTGTATTATGCTATTGTCAGTGTTTGTCATTGCATGTGAATATTAGATTTTAATTAAATTTAGTTGAAAATGGTTTTCTTCTAAGTTATAGCG